CCGCTCTCTGAGCCCACTAGGCCAAGTGCCCCTGAAAAAGGGGCCTTCCCGTCACACGTGGCCATGTGGGCTACGCACAGCTCGGGGTTTGTGGGCGATGGAAGGAACCAACAGCTAAAGAGCAAAACAGGCCCCGATGGCCACTCAGAGGTTAGAGCATGTCCTATGCACCCAGGTCGGGCACATACCCAGGTTGCAGGTTTGATTCCCCATTTGGGGTGCATGCAGGAGACAACCAATCGATGTTTTTCTTTCTTTCTTCTTCTCTCTCTAGAATCACTGAAGCACATCCTCAGGTGAGGGGAAAACAGTAGAACAGACACCCAGTATTTGGGCCCGTGGAGAAGTATGAAGAGCAGGAGTAAAACACTTTTATTAGATTTGGTTTTAACACAACAAAGAGTAGGGGAAGTCAAGGCCGGCGAAGAGTGAGACATAAACGTGAAAACAAGATATGTCTGCAATTCACGTGGGGCCGCACGGCTTTCTTTGGTGTAGCCCCGATAATCTAACGTAATTCCTTTTATTTTGCTCAAAAGCATCCTCTTCACATTTGTGATCTCTGCCCCCGTGGCCCGGGCAGGTTACAGAATCGGGATGTAGCTGTTGATCTTAGTGCGATGCCTTTGCGAGATGCACTCGGCGATCCACACAATGTTCCTCATTTCTTGCTCCCTCAGCTTCGTGTACGCATAAAACACGCCGCAGTGGAACTGCCTGGTGAACGCCAGCACGTTCATCTTCACCTGAGCAAGGGCACAGAGCACCGTCAGCCCAGCGAGGGCGCAAATGTAGATGGGACAAATGACAATGAGAATAGATTTATAAATTATAGACATGCCTTAAAGACTCCCAGGAATTCTTGGCAGAGGGAACCTAATACCATAAAGATTAGCTTTTCCACAAATTAGATGACACATCAATCAGGTAAGGTTGTGCTAGGCTAAAACAACCGCTCCAAAATTTCAGTGGCTTAAAACAACAAGGTTAATTTTTTTCTCTTGCCATATGCCCTATGTCCACTTTTGGTTGGCTGGCTCTTCTCCATCTGGTCCTCGCTCAGGGTCCCAGGCTGATGGCGGCTCCATCTTCATGCTTCTATGATTGCAGAGGCATGGTAAGATTCTTTGAAGTTTCTGGTCACAAGTCATTGGCTAAAGCAAGTCATGGGGCTATGCCTAACTTTAAAAGGGATGGGGAAGTGTAATCCTGTCAATATGCAGTGAGTTGAAAATATTTGGCGAACAGCACTAATGGCTGCCACAGAGGGAAA